GCAAAGCAACAGTAAATACTGAAAAGGCAGGATATCCTGAGCAGTTCCTGCAGACCTAAACAAGCGAGCGGATTAGTTTTTTATAAGCAGCACATAGGTAGGAATACAACCACTTTAATGCATTTTATAATAAATGTTTACTTTTAATTAATAAATGGTACTGAAGTCCCAAGTATGAGAAGTACCAGTGTTAGAAACAATACTTTAAAATGATAAATGTCTTACATAAGCAAAAAATAACAGTTCTAACACTGGATTGAACCAGGTATGAAGAAAAGGATTCCAAGCTAAAAGCTGGGAAGTAAATAGCTAGTCGCATGAGCTTACTTGAAGGACATCCCTTGCAGGTGGAGAAAAGTCAGGAGGAGCAGTGGAAAGAGCACTAACCAGAGACCCAGGAGACCTGGCTTCTGGCCTAAGCAGCCCTTCATGAACCACAGGGTGTGGGGAAAGCCACTGGGCTCTAGCTTCCCACTCTGTGTTAATGGGCAGGTTTATCTGGATGGAGAATGGATTTATTCCAAAGGAAATGCAAAACCCAATTTCTTACATGTACCAAGTTTTACCTGAAACAAATATATACACACTAACAAACAAAACAGACTACAGGAATTATTTTTCAAATGTGTATACAGTTAACACTTGAAGAATAGGGACTTGAACTGCACCAGTCCACCCAGACAGTAACTACCATATAACTACAGTAACTACAATAACTATTGTACTGTTTTGTATCTGTACCCAGGAGTCAGCAGATGTGGAGGGCCAACTGACTTTACACATTTATCTAATGCCACTTTTTATAGGGGATTTGAGCATCGTCCGATTTTGGTATCTGCAAGGGGTCCTGGAACCAATCCCCCACAGATACCAAGACACTTAAGTTTTAGTGCCATCAAAAGTTATATGCAGATTTTTGACTGGGGGGCAGTGGAAGGGCTGGCTCCCAATGAAAAGGGCACTCACAGTAGCTGCTGGCCATGCATTTTTTAAACAAAAAAAAAACACTAACGGCATAACCACCACAAGTACTAATAGAAAAACAAAATCTATTGATACTAAAAAGGTTCTCACACCACACTATCAACACCACTGTCCATAGTTCTTAATCTAAATTTTTAAATTTTTTTCAACATTTTAGGAATCTATCAATTAGCATCTATGGTTGAAAAGTATACTCTCTTCAGGAAGTTGCTCTTACATATAGGACTTTGCAAGGAATTTCAAGAAACCCTCTTAAACTCAAAGAGCCCACCTAGGGGCCTATGCCTAGATTAAGAATGTCTACAACTTGGACAACTTATTTAAAATCTGAATTTATATGACAAACATCTGTGTGCTAACAGATAATGTTTAATAAATGCCTATTATATGCTATTTAATGAATTATTTCATTAATCTTTGCAATAACCCTTTGAGGTAGCTGGTAACATTATACCCATTTTCAAAGTAAGAAAACTAAGGGTTAGAAAAGTTAATTAACATAAGAACATGTCAAGAGAGAAAATATGTTCTCTAAAGATAATGCACCAAAAACAAAACTGGTAGTTAAAAAAATGACTGATATAAAATAGCTCAACCCTCTGTCTTATTCATATTATGTATGTTAGCCACTTGACAGAGGTCTTAAACACAAAAAGATATAACTAAAAAATTAAAATGCTAATGAACCCCCTAACTAGTCCTTGATCTCCCAGTGGGGAAGGGGACAGGTGCAGCCAATGACTCCAGCCTGCAGAGCCCCACCCACAACAGTACAAAGGAAAGCGTGTCCTGCTAAGTGGCTGCACCACCTCCACTTTAGAGTCTGTCTGCCTACATTGGGATCAGCGTGAGGTGGGAGGGTCACCTCTGCCCAGTCTACAGAGGATCTGGGCAATGTTGTCTTTACTATCTCACCTTCCTCACTAGCTTCAAACTATCAGTAAACACAGTACTCTGCTAGAAGACATCCAAGTTAACAGATTCTCAACAACAAGTAAAAGTGTTGTCTTTCCAGCACTGATACTTTAAAAATGAACAAGTTAGAAATTTATAAAATTAAATCTTATGAGTTGTTGCATTCATTAGTGTAGAAGCACAGATCACATATACCTGAATATGCAAAGAAAGTGAAATTATGATGCAATCAATGCCATCCTATAAAAACTAAATTAACAAAAATAGTCTATTAGGGAAGACATCTGGTGTATCATGGCAAGAAACGTTAATGATATTGTCTGCAACCCTGTAATCAATTTTTCCCCAGCAGCTCTCTCATTACACTGTATTAGATCTGTGTGCCTGCAGAATTTATGAGAGCTCCACACATGGGGCTGGGGGAGCTTTGCCAACTGCATCTGATTCAGATCCAGCTCAAAGGACTTGGCAGCATGAAGTGTCGTTAAAGAACAGTCAATACAGTGAGCTTTATGCAGCATCACCTTGACTGAAAGATTTACCATCTTCTAGCAGAATCTTCTCAAACCTACATATGATGGTATCTGAGTACAGCACCAATCATGAGCTTATTTAAATCTCCAGTGAATACAATATTTTTGCTGCTAAAAAATTAAATACTGGCCATCACTAAGGCTAATAGAAAAAGCTTACTATTAAGGAAAAAACTTTAGATCCATTCAGCAAATCCTGGCTAGTGACTATTGTGGTAAATCAAACAATCTAACAATAACATCCACACTGATTAGAGAAGAAAACATCAGCCTGAAAGAAAAAAACCATTTCCTAGATATATGTGGAAACAATATGGTGATTGTTAAAAGCTGAGGCTTTTGAAATGGTAGTCAAGTGTCCCGCTAAGTGGCTGCACCACCTCTACTTTAGAGTCTGTCTGCCTACATTGGGATCTGCTAACTTGTCCCTTAAAATGTCAGTATCTCTCTTCAGGGATTAAAATTAGACTTTTATCCACTATATTGCATTTCATCTTACATTGTGAATGGCTATTACATCAAGAATTCCAAGGCTTCCATAATGTGAACCTTTTGCTGGTCTAATTCTTGATAAATTACACTAGCAACTATCTAAACATGAAATTGTTGTTGTGACTTTTCCTGATTGTTATAATTATTAATATCTCCATGGCTATTGTCTTGGTCCTCTTCAGTTTATACATGGATGACGGCCCTGGCCACCTACTTGGAACTTAGTCTTTCCCCACTCTACACTGCCTTCTGCTGCCCAATGAATCTTCCTAAGCAGTGATTTGCAAATTAGCTTACAGGATATTTAAAAAGCCTATAAAGGCCCTTTTCTGCCTCACATAAAAATCTCACCTTTTTTTTTTTTTTAAAGATTTTATTTATTTATCTGTAGAGGGGAAGGGAAGGAGAGAAACATGAATGTATGGTTGCCTTCGTGCATCCCCTGCTGGGAACTGGCCTGCAGGGAACCGGCCTGCAACCCAGTATGTGCCCTGACTGGGATTCGAACTGCGATTGTCTGATTCGCAGGCCCAAGCTCAATCCACTGAGCTACACCAGCCAGGGCAAAAAGCTCACCTTTTTAAGATTCTTTATAATCTGGTACCATTTTATATCCCCACCTCTGCCTCCCAAGATCCACTAAATTGTGCTCTTCATTGCTGTCCTGTGGTCTTCTCCTTGCAACTTCCAGCTTAACCAAGCTCATTGTCTATGTTGCTTATAGGAACAGCCTGACATGTACACCTGGAAGTCTCCTCCACTTTGCCTGTCCACATGGTACTAATGTATCAAACACATACACAGCCCAGACTGGTATGGCTCATTGGAAGGCTGGGCATCATCCCACACACTGAGAGGTCACCAGTTCAATTCCCAGTCAGGGCACAAGCCTGGGTTAGGAACCAGGTCCTGGAAGGGAGCGTGTGAGAGGCAAACTGATTGATGTTTCCCTCACACATAGATATTTCTCTCCCTCTCTTTCCCCCTCCCTTCCCCTCTCTCTAAAAATAAATAAACAAAATCTTTAAAATGAACAGATAACAACAAAAAAAACCCATACCTAGCTCCTCAAAACCTACCGTCACAAAACTTTCCTAGTGCTATCACCCATTTGGAGCACTCTCTTCTCTTAGTCTCAAGATCGCAATGTTCTACACTGTAACTGAACGACTCATTACATATTGCTAGTGTCTTGTATTGTGCGTGTGCATCTGTGATGGCTATTTTCTTGTTATTTTCTCATTAAGCCCCACAGTCAGATTACATGCAAGAGAAAGACAGGTCTTAACTTCTTTAGTGATTAATAGCAGTTACTCAGAACAATTACACCTGTCTTTAGGAAAGCTTTATCATTACACCCTCACAAAGGAAGGAAATGACAGGTGCACACACAGCTTTCAGAAAAGGTAAGATGTAAGACAAAAACAGTCCTCATGGATCACTACCTCCGGGTCCTGTGTTCTAAGGGATAATTAACGGACATTTCAACGTGTTACATCTCATTCACAACCCACATTCCCACCAGGCAACAGAGGAATTACCAGAGTATAACTGAGGGCACTATGTCTACACCCCAACCCACACTTTTCAAAGTGTTTTATTCTATATCTGCCATTGTAGAAAAGCCTAGCTACTTCTGAACAATATTCTACAAACAGTCACCTGAAAGGACAGCACCCAAAATAGTTTAGATCCACGGGCCACGAGTCCCAATGGTCCTGGGGAAATGCACGTTCCACATTTGGTCTCAAACTTACCCCCTTTATTCCCCATTTCAGTTGCCAACATCCATACTCGCTGCTGATTGCCAGCTCCTGCTCCTTGCAGCAGCCCAGCATGCTCTCTGCTGGTGCCAGATACCCTACACCACCAAACCCCACTAACTTCTGGAACTGTCCTAGAGGGGTAAGGCAAGTCCCGTATTTTGCTTCCTCTGTGCATGTACTTGTTACTCCTTTAAAAACACATATAATACAGCACATTTTTATAGGGGTTCTGGGGAGGGAGGTAATATTCCTATTTTATACCCTATGGATATAAAATATTGACAGCTTTTAAAAACGGGATTCTCCTTACCCCTACAGGCCCTCTCCCGGCTTCAGAAAGATGCTGTGGTGGCTGTGACGCCACCGGCAGAGAGCATGCTGGGGGGTCACACAAAGCAGGAGTTGGAGATCTGCAACAGGCCTGGGAGTTGTGGACCTAAAAAAGAAAAGAGTTTTAAGTTAACGCGCCCAATGTCTCCTCATACCCTGGTTACTAGGGGCACTCAGCACACAATCACGTATCTGCACAAATCCTTTAGCAGATGGCCTCTGAAATCTCAGAGAATTTGTTCTACCACTAAAGTTAACCTTGCTGCATTAATAACAACTGTTTCTGTAGCTCAGCATGAGCAAACTATGATCCTTCCAGCTTTACTCTTTAATCTAGATCCTCTCACAAAGCAGTATGGTGTGTGCCCCTCAAAATAACCAAGTTATTATGACACAGTGCCAAAGCACAGTGACAGTGGTATGCTGTACCTAAAATAAAACAAAAATTTCTGTGGTATCAGATAAACACAACCGTAAAATGAACCACAAGCAGACAAAGTGAGCTTTCAGAAGCATTTTCTAATGAGAGAAGCTGAAGTTCTAAGATATAATTAATAAGGAAATATTAAAGGCATTAGGGGTATCAAAGAAAGATCCTACCATTTTTCTCAAAGTCCTAGTTTAATTTTGTAAAGCTAAAGGCAAGGTAAAAGACAAAAGCTTAATACCAGAGGGGGAAAAAAAGACCCATTCCAATAAATTTTAATCTTTTCCAGTGCCCATAAGGTAAGTAGAATGAATGAACAGGCACAAAGCATCAAGTCCAAGAAAGACATTTCTTTTAGGGGCAAAACCAGTTTGGTATGTATCACTTTTTTTTAAAAGAAACTATAGAAAATTAAAACCAGTAAAAGATTAGAGAGCAACTTCTGAAAGCCAGCATGTTACTTTTAAGTGTCAAAAAGATACCTCAGATAACAGTTTGAATATGATCCCTTTCAAACATTCTAGAGAGTACATAACATTTCTAACAAACCAACCAATTCAATTTCATTAGACTTTAAATGAACTAAAAACCCCATAAAACTCTAAATGCTTATCCAAGATCTGTTCTTAAAGTTGTTTAAAAATTACAGATAAGTAAATGTTTTAATATTAAATCATATTTATGGAGTCTTGTCATATAACTCCTTTTGAGAAGCAAAGAATCACTCTAACAACTTCCTATAAGTCAAGATTTAATATGCTCTGTCTCTTTTAAAACAAACAAAAAAGACAAGTCCCATGAAATAAGCTAACTTTGGGAATGTCTTCAGCATGGTGGTTTTATTTTCTTTCTCTACAGATCATCCTTCTACAGCACACCCTGAGCTCCACACATTCTGTGCAGTGTCTTGACTTCTACTGCCTCAGTTACAACACATGATGAAATCAAGTGTTACAGCCATAACCTTCACCACCACACACCTCCCTCCTCCCCATACCAACACTGCACAACCCAAATCAAAGATTCAATTGTGTACAAGAATGTACAGTATATTCAATATTTTTTACCATAAGCATCAAATAAAAATGAATTTCTGTTTAATCTCTCACACTAGGAATTCAATTAATCAGACCACTCAGATAAATCCCTTATTCATACAAATCAAGGGTTTTAAACAAAGAAACCTAGTAAAGCATTTCTAAGCACCTTGGCATTATGTTAATATGCAAGAGTTCAATTAATTATTAAAGCAATTTAAGCATTAAAAAAAGCATCATTTCAAAGCATACCATTGTTCTTATTTGTGAATCAGAAAACACTGACACAATATCTCATTTCTCCAGTTTTATTTCAGTTCTCATGATCTTTCTTGGACTACTTTGAGCTGGTTCTTAACACAAACATCCACATCCACACCCACATATAAATTACAAATTTCCAGTTGTAAGGAATTGAGTTTGAATGACAAGACTTTACCAATATTCTTGCACAGCAGTTCTCTGCAAATATCAAATTGTCTCAACCTTTCTTAAGCTCCTTTTTAAAAAATTAGAATACCTTGAGTTGTCTGCATTGAAAAAATTCATATAGAGAATATATTTAGTAAATAACATTATACATATTTTACAAAGATAAATTAAATTAAACTTTTCCAGTGATTTCTTAGAGTCCTAAAATCCAAATAAGATAGGGCAAAATGAATTACTAAGTTCACAGTAACCGAGAACCATTAAAACTTTAAAGCCCATGTTATCTATAATGGCTGTCAGTCATGAGTGAAAAGAGACTGCTAAGAAGCTGAGTACATAGGGCCAATAAGGTGCTGAGATTATTTATTCCCAAAGTCTCATTTTGATTTTCACTTACATGAATACTGTACTCCATTTATAAGGTGACATTCAGATCACACAAAATGGTTGTGGTTATTCAAAACAACTTTCAACATAACGGCCCCATAATCAGGGGAGAGGGGTTTGCAGGAGATACCATCATCATCTCCTCTGACCACGTCCATCAAACTCAGAGCTAAGACAGTTCATCTTGTTCTTGCTTCTTAATAGTATTAAATACAATTATAAACTTCAAATTTACACGTGAAAAGGACATTTAGTCCTCAAACATACAACAGGTCCTCATATAGCATCATTTTGTTCATCATTGTTCATCACCTTTCATTATAACATTGATGAGATGTCAGAGGAACTTAATTCTTATATCAATTGGCTTATGGTAAAACTGATTTCATTATACGTCATTTCCCTTAAATTCACAGAACCTATCAACGATGTTAAATGAGAACTTATTAGAACTTACTGTATTTATTACTGGTGACTTACTCCAAACATAGCATCCTGTAAGCCCAACAACCCACTGTAGTTCATTACAATGGATAATAACTAAGCAACCAAAGCCTTTATTTCAAACAAAGGAAGAGGGTGGGTAGTTGTGGCCTTCCAGAAGAACCCCCTAGCACCAGATCAGCAATGCACACCTATCTGTGAAGGAGAAATCACAGGAGAAGAAGAGTACTGCCACACTGCCACACTCAACTCCTGACAGTGAGAACAACCAACCTAATGGAAAGGAACAATGCCGTTTGAAGAATTGTCTCAGCTCTACATCTTACTGTCTCTTTAAGTGATACTTAATTCCTCACTCTATAAACTGAAAACACTTGATAACAAACTTCATGGTTTTTATTTCCTTATCCAACACTACATGCAAATAAAAAAAAGCTGTAACTGGTGTTACTGACCTTTGTGTAGGGAATGAGCCAAAAGTGTAAACAGAAGAAAGAGCTACAAATATTAAAAAAAATACAATACTCAATTCTGCAGGGCTAATTTGAGGGACTATAAAAAACAAAAGATAAACAATCGCTGCTTCACACAGAAACAAAATCATCATACCGTAAGGCATTTTTCGTATCAGCTACACTAATGTAAACTTCCTGAAGAAAATTAGAAACTAAGTTTTAAAGTATTTTAAGAATAGTTTTATTATTTAAATACTGATATATAACTTAATACACACTGCAAACTTAACAAAAGGTAAAGAAGTAGATCCCTTTGGCTTGTTTAATAAACAAAGTTAATCAGTAGCTAATGCAAGCACTGTATCAAACTATTACTAAACTTTTTAGAAATCTTTCCATGGAATTTAGTAAATTCTTTCCATGGAAATGTTAGTTTATTCAGTATTCAATAAGTATCTCCTGTGGGTCATATGTGGGCCAGGCAATGTGCTAAGTGCTCAATATACAGTATATCAATGAACAAAGCTGGTGTGGTGTCTCCTCTCACAGAGCTTAACCCTAAAGCACCAAGTACACGTCAACATCATGATCACTGTCAATCCATGGCCCAGGCACTGTGCTACCCACTTTGTAAACTTAACTTTTTAATCTAAAAACAATCTACCTGCCAAGTAGGTACATTCTATCCCCTCCATAGTTAAATAAAGCAGGGTTAGGAGGGCTAAGTGTATTGCCCAAGGTCATGAAAGAGAGCAACTGATGGAACAAACTGATGTCAATGTCAAGCTGTCAACTCATGCACTCTACCATCCCTCATCTCAGTCCCAGAAAAGTATCCCAAATTCTGAATCAGCCATGTTCAAATTAATGTGGACTTCCTGTCCCACCCCAAAATCAGTTTTTAATATTTACCTAATATTACAAGATATATACAAGATATGTATGTATGTATGTATGTATGTATATGTATGTATACATGTATGTATGTGTGCACAAAGAGTGCATGTAAACAAGCTCCTCACATCTCCCAGCATTATCTATGTAAAGGTCTCTAAAGAAAAATGAGAAAATGTAAGTACTTATCCTCAATAAGTTTTCATTTTAAAGAAAGAATAGCAGCTTCTTACTTTTAATTCACTTCTAAGAAACAACTTGGTGTACAGAGGGCAATTTCAAAGCTAAATGGAATCTAAGCTGAAGCTACTTTTTCTGCAGTTCCTCTTTTGTTGCAAAGTTCTTGGGGGTAGAGTACAGACCAGGAATCAGAATGAGAAATTCCAAATGCTCCTCCCCCAGCTGCTCCCATGCTATTAAATCTTGAATACTCTGGCCCCCACACTCAAAGCAGTAATGGAGATGTGCCTGTTCCAAGATAACTGGTGGTAAACTAAGGCTTTAGCTATCCTGCACTCACAATCAGTACTTAGGGTGCATGCTGTTAGGGACACAAATGACACAACAGCACATTCATCCATGCAGAGCTGTAACAACACACTGAGCCTGAAACAGTGAACTGGAAATACCATAATATCCCTAATGACATATCCCTAACTCTAAGTAATGTGTAGACCAGGTATAATTTTAACAATAACGTTCCCAGTTTTAATCAACCAAATGAGAGCCAAAATGAATCAATGTTATTTGCTCAATATAATATCTATAATAATTACATATCCTACTTGAAAGTTCATTTCATATAACTGAAGAGTAGATAATTATGTAACTCTTAAGAAACCCAAATCAGACTTTTTCTATTGTATGAATGACAGATACTCATTAGGAATCCACATAGAATTCCCAGGTAGAATATTAAAGAAACAGTTTCAATTACTTGCCTGTGAATGAATTATTAAGTATGAACTGCTACTGTTAGACCCAATCCAGGAACTTCTCAGTGTTATACTGAGTGGAAATTGCTAATCTCAGTGATCTTCTTATTGAGGATTCTCAGAGCCCATGATTATTTCTAGATAGCACGTTAAGTCTACTATCAAGGCCTGGATTTCTATAAAAATGAAACTTTGGGGTTTTTTAGTAAAAGAAAAAATCCTTCTTTGGGGACAAAAAGTGAGTGGCTTCCTCCAAATCAATCCTATTCAGTGTTCTCCAAAGGGGACTGATATCTAAAATGCCACAGCTGTCTGTCCTTAGACCCTAAGATCACCCGGGGAAGAGCTGCACCTCACATTCTTCAGTCCCCACTATGATGCTGTGCTCAGCAAAGAACACAAGTTTTCAATAAATGCCTGTCAAAGGCCCTGATTACAACCCAAAATATTCTTAATTGCACTCTGGGATATAATGCTTCTTGGTGATACTGACTCATTCAGGAGCAAAATTCTCACAGAAACAAGTCACAAAGGGACTCGGAAAAGCTGTGGGAGTGCAGCAAAGGAAAGGGTTAACGCTAGGCTCTTGAAGTTACAATTACTGGAGATCAGCTCAAGCTACCTGAGAAGAGGCATCCAATGAGAGGAACCAACAAGGATAATCTAGGACTCCAAAAGGAAATAGCATCAGTGGAGGCCTCTCCCTTTGGCCCTGCTGTTGCTCCAATGCTCACCTTTCCCTGGCATCCTGTCTGAGCACAGCAGCTTGCCTATGACCTGTTTATGCCTGCCCTAACTCTCTCTGCAATGAGGCTATTTCTGATTCATCCTATTAACTTTGCCGCCAACCCCGACCCCCAACCTCCACTAACTTCTCAGTCTCTCAGTTCATCTTTTCAAGCCAGGCCACAAAGATCATAGATTGTCATTCCACACTACTGTTCTTTCAAAGAGCTGAAGATTTTGCCAACTGCTTTAATATGTAGTTTAGAAGCCTAAAGGGCAAAGCTGCCTTATTTAATTGATGATCCCTCTTTCTTCCTGCTTCCAAGTACACACTATCCATAATCCAACTTTACCTCTCCTGCCCTCAAGCCCCTGTTTTTGTCATGTTGCAAAGATAGTTTTGTCACTGTAGTCAAACAAACTCAGATCTCCCAGTTTGTAAATAAGCCCAATCTAATGAACACTTCCTAAATGAATGAAAGCTTCCTGATAGAACCAGAGCACACCCTTGAAAATGCTACTTCCAAAAACCTCAGTTTTGTTGGGAACTCAATTTTTTCACCATCACAGCTTTCACTTACCTCTGTGAAAGTGTGGGCTCTAAAATATATCTACCAATATAGGACAGAGAGGCCTGATGTGTTTTGATGGTTAAATGTTAATAAAACAGAAGTCATGGATCCCATCCCCATAAAACCCATCATCCAAATAGGGACACCTTTGAGAGTAAAAGGGGACAATTGCTTAACAGTTTACCAGGACAACAGAAGTAAACTCAGTAAACAGAAGCAGCTATGTTTCATATCATGGACTCAGATTCTATGGGAGGACAACCAGATCCCTGTGTAAAATCCAAAGACCCTTCTTATCTCATACTGAACTAGTCATGAACTGTTACCAAGGATCCTCAGTTCAATACACTAGCATTGTGCTAGTGACTGGTGGTAGCTGTCTCCTATTCCACTTCTCAATTCTCCAGCCTCTGATGTGTTCAACATTGTACTCTTACTTAACATGTACCATAAAGGGCATTTGCCCAGTTTTTTTTTTTATAGTCCCGAAATATACCTAAACTCACAAAGTTGCTGTGGTAAAAGGATTAATTCTAATTAATGGTGTAAACAAAGAAATATATCTCACAATTACAACCCCAAACCAAATAAAGCTAAAAAGATAAAATACATAATTAATCAGTAATTTTTCAAAGCTGGTGGGTTTTTGTTTTCCATTATTTCACATGCCACACCTGGTATTTCCTGTGGGCAAAACCAACTCCAATTTCTTCTTTTTAAAATCTTGCAGAGAAAAAAAAAGCGTATTTCCTTCTGTTCATCTTTTCCCCTTATAGCTTGCATAAGCTGAATTGGGAAAACTTCCAATGACTGTTTTCATCTACTAGGTTACCTTTTTGTTAATAGTATTGGGAACCAAAGAAGGAAGTGGGGATCCAGACAATAACTACATCCCTTCCAGTAGCAAATAATTCATCATCTCTGGTAATCTTACACAAGTATGATACATGCAGAATGCAGAACTCGAACAAAAACACAAGACATAGCAGTGTGCAATTTAGAAAAAGGTACCTAACTGCAACCTACTTCCCACATTGTTTTTGCATGCAGCTTTAATGTGTTGTACTAGACCAATACTGATGACAGAAGCTTCAGCTTTTATTGCTGTTAATACCCTGAGCAATTACTGTAACTCAGCAGGAACCTCTGCTGCAAACAGCAACTATCACATTGTAATCAGCATTTCGTGAGCAACACTGTTCAAACATAAAGGCAGCAGCTAATGTGCAAAAACTGTACAAAAGGAGCTCAGATTCTAAGAGGTAAAAAAAATCTTTGCAAATTTATTTCACAGCTACATCTTTCCCATGGTGCACTGGTCTTACACTTGGTAAGAATCATCACACACAGAGACAATGACCAGGAAAAGAGCAGTAGCAGCAGTCACTAGCAAAAGAAAACTCTTCAGGAAAGGAGGCCACCACCAGATTTTCGGATGTTAATGCAGCATCCGTAAAAAAAAGAAATCTTTGGAAGGAAACATTTTATAAATAGCAAAGACCTCTAAAAATGATAAAACTTTATGTTGACATAAAATCTGAATAAAAAGCATCTGACTTTTAGAAGATTAAACTGCAAGACCACCTTATAAAACAACCAGGGAAATTAAAAGCAGCTTACCACAGCCAGAACTTGAAGTAAATGGCACATTTGACTTTCTTGTAAAACAATAAGCATGCATTACTTATGCAATAATTTTTAAAGAAAAAAATGGCATGCAATTTTTTAACTAACTAGATCATAATACACTATATGAATATTTTGGATAATTAAAATGATAAAAAGAAACAAAGAAGGTGCAGAGTTAAAGATCTCTTCAGGCCTACATTACTTTTCTTTAAACTTAAATACCCCATACAATGCATGTCAGAACACAAATATTATCAAAAGTTTCAAAGGGTTTTGGAAATAAGGACATGCACAGACACTGATAAACACCTCTACAAATTAGGATTAGAGTTTCTCTCACTTAAGACTAAACAGTAGTTCCCCACCTTCAAGTACAAGGATCCCCTTTTTAGGACCTAAATGTTTCAAAAGACCCCCAAATAACAGCATTTTAATAGTATTTCACTTATCAATTGTTTGAGAAAATACCTAATAAACAGTGATTCTTAATTGCATATTGTCATTAAATAAGTAAACTTTTAAAAACCACAGCAGCATATGAATACATTCGAAAAGTAGCTGTACAGACACGTGAGGCACACTTATTTATTTAAGGCTAAGAACGCTTACTTGCAGATCTGTGCAAAATCTCTACAGATACCCAGGGATCCAAAGCCCCTAGTGTGGGAACTGCTGGTCTGAAAGTGAGATGCATATCATAACGGGCAATATCAATACTTATGGACTTGGGAAAATTTTTTAATGAGGAAGTATTACAGATACGCTGTCCCTGAGCCAGACTTCCTTCCCCCAACCGCCATGACTGGGAGACTAGCCAAAAAGATTCAAGATACACTCCATACTCGCTAAAATATCTTAAGTAAATTAATTATAGTCACCACTGAAACTAGTCTCTGGCCCAGTTACATTCTTTTTTTCCAACTCATCAAATGCCAAATTTACTTTTCTTCAGGCTCTTCACAATGGCTGAGGAGAAACAAACTACTTCAGAAACTCGAGAGAATCTCTGAAATTGTTATCAAAATAGCTATGAAAAGAAGAAAACATCACACACATTATTTACAGCACAGCTTTATAACTCTAAGTGTTACAAAACAAAAAAGATAAAACTGGTGACTGCCTTATAGGAGTGCTACAGCCCCCAGGCAGTCAGCACTTGGAAAGTAAACTGGACATCAGGTCAGTAAGATGGACGAGCAACCAAGAGACAGCCAATGGAACTGGAAACAGAGAAGGTCCAGAGTAGAATCAACAGCACATTAAAAAATGCTTACCAGTTTGAAGTCTTGAATGCTACAGATGAAATACGGTGTGTTTGGCCTCCGACTCTCGATATACACACAGTCTTTAAAAGAAAAAGAAATTTTAAAACAATGGCATTTACCTTTAAGGGAACAAACACAGGGCCCATAAGGCCACTGCATAAATAAATAAATAAATGACAAAACACATACATTTTTAGAGAAAAATTTTTCTGAAAGGTGATATTAAATTACAAGTAATTTTAAATTAGAGGGAAAGAGCTCTTGGGTTCTTTCTGACCACTTTTCTGTTAAGACCTCAATTACTGTTTTTAGAGTCTCTGAAGAAGGGGGAGGAGGAAATCCCATGGGATTGATTATCCATATTCAGATTCAACCTCTGGAGTCTAAAAGGTTGCTTTTTAAAAATGGCAGGTTAAGATACTTTGCTTTAAAAATGCAATGACTTTTAGTTAAGCGGTGATTATAAAAAATATAAAAACTCTCCACATTACAACCTAACATCATTATAAAACATAGGACAAGATGATCATGGATTATTCTGCTAGAAGTTCAAAGCCAAGAAAGAGCAACACAGCAGTCCCGCCATAAGTGCTAGCTCACCCACTAAGAGGCAGACCATATGGAAAGCCCTCACTAAAAGGACATTTCTTTCCAAAAATACTTCTGAAAGACATCGGGATTTTCGTGGCCCAAAGTCACTCCAGAAAAAGAAGGAAGCATTTAGGTATCCAGAATTCCCAACTTATTTCTCCACTCAGATGTAGACTCACAATAGAGATTCGATCCCTGTATTCATGTCAAACAGCAGCTACAGAATGAACCGGACTAAGCTTTCAAACTTGTTCCAGAATCAAGGATGCTAAATAACTCTGCTCAACATTTAGACAACAACCATTTAATGTGCTAATCAACTTAAGATAAAAACAGGAAAAGTCTTGGGCCCTAGCTGATATAGCTCAGTGGATTGAGCGTGGGCCTGTGAACCAGAGGATTGAGGTTCAATTCCCAGTCAGGGCACATGTCTGGGTTGTAGGCCAGTTCCCAGCAGGGGACTCACAAGAGGCAACCATACATTGATATTTCTCTCCTTCTCTCCTTCCCTTCCTCTCTAAAAATAAATAAATAAAATCTTTTAAAATTAAAAAAAAAAAAAAGTCTTCCCACTACAGCACATATATCTCCTCTTATCCTTAATCTGGTATTCAAGTAAAAAACAGAAGAATTCCATTCCTAGGTAAAAACTATAGCTCTCATTTGCACAATTTTGGGACAACACAAGGGTCTTGATTTCTGCATTCTAATCCCTATTGGACCCAACTACCAGCATTTCCAATCCCTAGATATCAGTTATTTACTCATTCCACTCAACCTGAACACAAATGACAGTCTATATGGCCTCTCTGTCCTATCTCATATGCAACAATGTCATACCTAGCTACTCTTCTTTAGCTTCAAAATTAATAGATTTCTTCCTTAACTAATGATTTACATGTTCTTCTTAAAGTCCATGTGACAGAAAATTTTTGTACCCAATGGTCTGGTCCCAAACCACACCCCATCCTCCCCTAGGCTACACTCTCCCAAAGAAATAGCAACACCCCTACCTTAGTCCATGCCAAACTCACTTTATGCCTTTGTGCTACCAACACCTACAACCTTAGAATGAGTTACCTCCAGCAACAGTAATTCTCATGTCTCCTCTGTAAAGAAATGGCAACATCTCTTTTCTTTTGGTCATAAAACTGACCGTGTACATTTCCTGTTTGTTCACTCATTTGGCAGCCAGGTGGTCTGCACTGCCCACACAACTATTTTCAAGCTTTTGAGCTCAGAGCAACTTACTCGCTTCAGTATTCTCTGCATCCACAAGGACTGATGTCTGGCATTCATGTTGGTAAAACCAGACAAAACTGAAGTAAATGACAGATGCTTAGACAGTAAAAACTATGTGCAACTTTATTCTTTTTACATAAAAAAGCTGTATATATTCTTTTCATAATCAACACAACCCTTACTATAAACCCTCTTACTTAGACATAAAGCAGCTATTAACTTATATATATATAAACACTTTCCAGAAACGAAGAGAGCATTCATATTCTTTCATTTCTCACTGCAAACCTACATGCAGGAAAATAATTATCTATAACTACCCTTGGATGTAACTGTCAGAGAAAGGAAGAAAGAAATACAGTGGTGTGTCAAGGACAACCGCTGACCTCCCTTTGCCTAAACACTTGTCTGCAGCCTTACTGGAAGCTGCCTGGCACTCCTGGCTTGAGAGTCACTGCCACGAGGGCCAAGGCAGACTGAGGGAGCAGATTCTCAAATCTGACATATGGAATTAACACATTTACTTACTAATGCCTTATTACTAGATAAAAAGTCACCTCTTTCTGGTTAGAAAAGTTACCATGGCAACTCAAATTGATCCAAAGCTATAAATTCACATGAGATTCCAATGCACTAGGCTAGTACTCTATAAAATAGGTTATTGTATCAAATAATCTATCTCTGTGGGTGTTTTGAAACTCATACATGAGCTCATTTCAAAATTAAGTGATAAAACTTAAGAGTTTGTTTTGTATAAATAAAATACAGAATGGTGAAGATCAGAGGTAGAATAAACTGAAATTTTTCACATGTCAATCTTGCCATCGAAATGGGAAAAATATTGTTTTTAACAGACTTCTATAATTCACGAAAAAGTACTGTAGAGTTGATCTGTTTTATTGTGTTCAGGTACAGTAGTCCCACTCTTTATTATTCATAAAGATTAGGTTGATGACACTAAAAGGATATATTCTAAGAAACCATTTGAAATTTAAGTCTCACACACACACAAAATCTGATTACTCCTCTTAATGATTTTCAAAACAAGGGTAAATACTCCTAAGAAGTATTCCCCTCATCTCATTAATTAAGCAGCTATTTAAGGGACTAATGTTATATAGATGGCTATAGTTAGCCCCAAATAAAGTGGTTTATTTGGTAAGGGAAAGATGAGACCCTAAGTCAAGAGCAATGTTAACATCTCAGTTGGAATATATGCCCAGAAATCTCCTAAAGCCAAAATGATTTGCCAAGAATTTTCATGCAATTTATGAGTGCACGAATTGTCTGAAGCTGGTTTCAGTCAGCTGGATCAATGATCCTCAACCTGAAAATCCCCCATGATCAACACAAGCACTGCAAACACCTTTTTTTTTAAAGAGCTTTTTAAAAAATCAGAAAGTTAAGCAAGCAGTTCTGCAAGAACTGAGCAAAGCTGATGTGATCCACTAAGTGCATAATGCACATGCTATTACCATCAATGTCAATTATGCCAAACAACAGATGATAACTGATTTTTTCTTTATATCGGTGTCTGGAAATAAAGCCATGGGTCTAGGTTAAGACTTATTCTCTAACACCTAGCTTCTGCCTGGCAATGGATCCCACGATTAAGTGACCTCCAATCCTGTATCCACGATTTTGGGCAGTGATACTTAATAGGGGCATTTCTGGCTGTTTCTAACAACCTGTATCCACGATTTTGGGCAGTGATACTTAATAGGGGCATTTCTGGCTGTTTCTAACAACCCCAGCACAGCTTTGTGTCCAAGAATCCATTGTGCCATCTGCAAATAACAGACCATGTGCTAAGCTGGAAAAGAAAGTCAGAAAAACACATGAAGGCAGATTCTCAAGGCAAAGAAAGCCCTCTCTGCTTTTTCAATGTTCAGCAAATCAGCAAAAACAGAGCCATGATTTCCACCCGGTGTGCCGCAAGCATTTTTAAAACATGCAACACCTGACTATTTAGTCGGGGCACTGACCTCTTTTCCCTTTTTTTTACTGTCAAATAAAAAAATGATAACAGCCAATACAATAAACAGCCATCTGGTGTGAATCAATTAAAACTGTATCTATTTCTTGTCAGATCAGCAAAAAATATATTTTTGATGTGCCACAAAATTTTAGTAGTTTATGTGTGCCATGAGATGAAAAAGGTTGAAAATCACTGAAACAGAGTGGGGGGAGGAGATAGGAGAGGGTAAGGGGGATAAATGGTGATGGAAGGAAACTTGATTTGGAGTGGTAAACATACAAAACGATATAGAAATGATATATTATAAAATTATACCCCTGAAATCTATGTAATTTTATTAACCAATGCCATCCCAATAAATTCAATAAAAAATACAAATGAAAACATTTTAAATAATAACAAAGAAAACAAGCTGCTGAAATAGAGGAAGGACAGTCTTCTCAAGGGTAAAAAACCACAGCCTGAAGCATCAGGCAGTTTGTCATCCTGAAACACAAAGAACCTGTCAGCATCTTTGCTGGCAGCCTCCCTCACAGAGCATGGTGGACATGTACTTCAGCCACTAATGGAGTAAGCAGCACTGGGAGCTACCATTCCAGCTGTGGTCAGGCGGTGCTCAGCCACAGCACTGTCCCTTAAAGAATTTCCCTCCCCAATTAGTGACTTGCTGCCTCTTCTTCTTTGAAATACCTTCTCATCCCTTTGCAAAGCATGGCAGTGCTGCTTCAATATAATTTTCAATAGGAAACCCCTACTGCTGATAACGAACCCACATGAACAAAGGCTCTCTCACAAACCAACCGCACAGAGCACAGGCTGGGCGGCACAGTGGTGGGCCTGGAGGATGACCTGCAGGACTGCTCTGCTCTTCCGCTTTCCGTTTCTCTCACAAAGACCCCTCCACCCTGGACGCTGAACCAACCATTCAATGAGTAACAGCAGGTTGGCCTAATATTGCAGAACAGAAACTACATAGGTATCTCATTAGCTAAATGGGATGTTTCCAAATATTCAACATACAAAAAACGAAGTGTATGTGTATAAGTGTACATGCTAGAAACAACACTGAATCCTGAAACCCGAATCCCAACCCATACATCTGCACACCTTCAGGAGAGGCTTCTTCTCCAGGTGCCCCATCAGGACAACAGTCACACCCATCACCATTCCTCACCTCAGAAAACAACATGCTGCATCTTGCATAGCAGGCATTCAAAAACTATATGACGAACAAATCAATTGAACAAAAATGTAAAAACAGAAAGAAGT